AGGAGAGGAGATGAGAAGAGAGAGAAGGAAAAAAAGTGTTCTCTGGTCAATGCCTTCCAGGAGATACACAGACACAGAGAGGCGAGGCTTGGAGAAATCACAGGAAAGAACCGTAGAGTTAGTTGTCTGTCAACAGCTGTAGATTTGAAATAACCTCTAAGTCTACCAATTTTTCTTGTTCTCAGGTGGGAACATGAAAGTGACCATCCTGTGCAATAATATCTCCCAAAGTAATCTCTGTTTTTAAAATATTCTTTTGTTTGTTTTCAGTTTTTGATTTTTGAGCTGAGTGATCATGTTGTCCAGGCTGATCTTGAACTCTTGGGCTCAAATGATCCTCCTGACTCAGACTCCTGAGTGATAGGACCATAGACTATCCAAGTAAGTTTCTTCTGTTACTGTCTATTCTTACTGTATATTCTTACATATTAAGCAAGGATCAAGGATCAGAACTCTGTTCCTCAAGTGTGAAAGAAGCTGGAAAGGTGTTTTAAAGAGACAGACACCTTAAAAGAAAACGACAGCTGTTAGCATGAAAATTTCATCTGTGTAGCTGCAGAGAACAGAACCACATCAAAAGATTATAGCTGTGGAGAGGTGAAATTGTGTCCAACTTAATGACTGTTCTAGAAAGAGCAGCCTTGGAAAGAAATGAATATGCACCTGTTTTTGCAGGAAAAGCATTGGCAGGGGAGCAAGCAGCAATCCCTCTACTTTGCTGCTGAAATTATTTAATAGACATCAGTGTTAAACCAATAGACCTATTAAGACCTTCTGAACATTTGTTTTAGAATCCCTTCTTTTCTAAAAGAATGAAAAATGATCCCAAGAGAGATTTCTAGATCGATGGGTACTGACCAGTTAGACCAGAGTTGTGTGTGTGGCAGGACTAACCCAACACATTGGTACCATCAAGGGTAGCTAGTGATGAATGTGACCAATTGTCCCACTAAATTTTTGCCTTCCTGCTCTCTGTTTTTCAGGGTCTCTTGCTCAGGGCACTATCGGACAAATCACATAACATTTTTATCTGAATTTTTCACTTTATATCTTGGGTAGTGAGGGGGTAAATGGAGAAACTTACAAAGTAATGAACACCTGACACCCAGCACCCAGCTCTGCCTGGCTCAGCCGGTCCAGATGCTTCCACGCCTGCCCACAGTCTCCGTTAACTTTTGCCCACGCATCTCGGGCCTGCAGTCTCACCCTAGGTCGGTAAATGACCCCTCTCCCGTCCTCCTGAGTGAGACACCAGGCCATCTTTCTCTCCATGCCCCTGCACCATTCCCTGCTTCTGTCCCGATGGCACCCAGCAGTCCCGCCCTCTGTGGTTAACTCTTCCCCAGTCAATTCTCCGCAGTAGGCCTTGCCCCTTGGAGGAACCTGGCCTGTGGGACACACCAATCCTGCAAAGGAAAGGTTCACAGTATTAGGACCAAAAAAGACTTTGCATTTTTACTGGGGCTCATATTAGCAGTTTAAAAGTCTCTTAGTGGGACTAGAGAGCTGGCTTAGTGGTTGAGAGCACTGGTTGCTCTTCCAGAAGACCTGGGTTTGAGTCCCAGCACCCACATCATGGCTAACAACCATCTGTAACTTCAGTTCCAGGGGATCCAACACCCCCTCTGGTCTCCTTGGGCATTGCACACACGTGGTGCATATATGCATTCAGGTAAAATACTCATATACATAAAATAAAAACAAATTTAAAAAAACTTTAAAGCTACTATACTTCAAATAATGTTTTATTTTAATTTTTATTATCATTATTATTGTGTGTGTGTATGTGTGTGTGTGTGTGTGTGATTGCATACATGGAGATCAGAGAACAACTTTAAGGAGTAGGTTCTCTCCTTTCACACATGGGTAGTAGGGATCAAACTCAAGTTGTCAGGATTGCACCACAAGTATGTCTACCTGCTGAGCCATCTTGCCAGCCCAATAATCAAATTTTAAATCAAACAGCAGAGCAGAATCATATGGACTTTCATATGCAGTCATTGCTTATTAGTTCAACTTGGTGTTCTTCCATATTGGAGTATATATTTTCACATTTTATATATAGAAAAAAGTAAAGGGATTTTTTTTTTAATGTGTATGCATGTATTGCCTGCATGTAGGTAAGTGTACCCATGTCGTGCAATGCCCACGGAGGGCAGAAGAGACTGTCAGATCCCCTAGAACTAGAGTCACGGACAGTTGTTAGCTGCCATGTGGGTACTGGGATTTGAACCCGGGTCTTCTGCAAGAACAGCCAGTGTTCTTAACCACTGAGCCATCTCTCCAGACCAGTAAAGGGATTTTTTAAAAAGTGAAATTTGGGGTTAGAGAAATGATTCAGGGGTTAAGAGCATTTTCTGCTTTTTCAGAAGATCCAGGTCAGTTCCCAACACCCACTTGGTAGCAAACAACCATAAGGAACTCCAGTTCCAGGGATCTGATGTCCTCTTTTGGCCTAACTGAATATAGGTAGCACACTTACATTCTTGCAGACAAAGCACTCATGCACATAAAATATAAATAAATAAAATACTTAAAAAGGGAATGCCTATTCATTACCTAATAGGTACCAGTGACTATGTTACTACTTTTCATGTGCTAACCCTTTTAATCCTCAAAATAACCTAGAATATGGGTATTGGGCTGATTCCACAGGAAAAAAGAATCCATAGAAAGATAAAATTCCTTGTCCAACAGTCAGCTCATAGTAGAACAAGGATAGACATATAACTATCTTTTGCATCAAAATCTATGCTTTTGCCAAGTGTGGTGGCAGACACATTTAATCACAGTACTTAAGAGGCAGGAAGATGGGTCTCTGTAGGTTCAAGGCCAGCCTAGTCTACATAGTAAGTTCTAGGCCAGCATCCCCATTCTGTACCAAAAAAAAAAAAAAAAAAAAAAAAAAAAAAAAAAAAAAAAAAAAACAGAACAAAGCAGAACAAAAAAGAAAACCCATGTTTTTCCCAGATTTTATTGCCCTTAGCATTTTTACCTGTTTTCAGCTCTACTTGCATCCCAAGCGAAGTTACATGGCACTGAAAAACTGATATCTTATTTATTCAGCCTTTGCAGTCATCTAATAGTGTCCTACAGAATAAGTTCATGTTTAAACTCAATAGCCCCCATGGACACTTAGATTGTCAAGTCTCATCCTTGCCATCCAACTGGCAGCCATCCCTTAGTCCTCAATGTCTTCAGGTCTACCAAGGTGGGACCCATTTCCAGAATCTACCTAATACGTTTTTTGGTGGTGGTGGTGGTGGGGTTTTTTTTGTTTTTTGTTTTTTGTTTTTTTGTTTTTTTTTTTGTCTTTTTGAGGCAGGGTCTCCCTGTAGCCCCAGCTGTCCTGGAACTCACTATGTAGACCAGGCTGGCCTTGAACTCACAGAGATCCGTCTGCCTCTGCCTCCCGAGTGCTGGGATTAAAGGCATGTGCCACCACACCCAGCCTAATATGTTATTTTTATTCAGCTTTGTGAATGGGAGAACAGCAAACGGTCTTCTCGGGCTTAGATTTCATGGTCCTCAAGTGACCAGCTAGCATGGGGAAAGAGTGCTGGGGTTGTCAAGAGAGCCTCAAGCAAAGAG